CCACATATCATGCTCTTCATCACTGATGATAACCTCCCCCCCCCCTCCCAGCTCACAGGATGCGTAGTTTCTCGTTCGCGCAACTTATGCATCACCTTGTCCCCTTGTTGGCTGTGAATAGCCATTTCAATTACATGCTCAATCCCACGATAGTTCAGAGACTCTGACCTTGATGCTATTCAAATCAAGGAGGTTTTTGAGTGTGTCTGACGATTTCCAGACGTTCCTTACCCCCGGGGTCCTGGGGTCAGATTCACGAAAGCACTTACGCAAGCACTTACGAACGTGTACATCTTTCCTCAATCTTTGACGGCTTTGGTTACATTTATTAAACAGTTTACAAGCATGAAAACTTGCCAATCAACTGTTGTTATTGTTATAAACAGCCTCCTGGTGCTTCGGAGCTCATTAACTGTTTAATAATTGTAAACAAAGCCGCCAAAGATTGAGAAAAGATGTACAGGTTCGTAAGTGCTTTCGTGAATCTGGTCCCTGGTTTGCCCGAGACGCTATGCGTACAAGTGGCTTTAGGTATTGTATGTACTATCTTTTTGAGATATATACAAGAGTTGTTACATTCTTGTACAGCCACTAGTACGCGTAGCGTTTCGGGCAGGTCCCTGGAATACGATCCCCGCCGCGAAGAATCGTTGTTACAACCAAGTACACATTTTACTGTTGAGTTAAACAGAGGCTACAGTTAAGGATTTGCGCCCAGTAAATCCTCCCCGGCCAGGATACGAACCCATGACTAAGCGCTCGCGGAACGCCAGGCGAGTGTCTTACCACTACACCACGGAGACTATCTCTATCGTTAAATCCAACATTATGTGTGTAACTCAATGGATGTACCTTTACCTGAATAAAAAAAATCTAATCTAATCTAATCTAATTTACCCGTGTACTCACCTATTTGTGCTTGCGGGGGTTGAGCTCTGGCTCTTTGGTCCCTCCTCTCAACTGTCAATCAACTGGTGTACAGGTTCCTGAGCCTACTGGGCTCTATCATATCTACACTTGAAACTGTGTATGGAGTCAGCCTCCACCACATCACTGCCTAATGCATTCCATCTGTTAACTACTCTGACACTGAAAAAATTCTTTCTAACGTCCCTGTGGCTCATGTGGGCACTCAGTTTCCACCTGTGTCCCCTTGTTCGTGTTCCACCTGTGTTAAACAGTTTATCTTTATCTACCTTGTCAATTCCCCTGAGAATCTTGTAGGCTGTCACACACACACACACACACACACACACACACACACACACACACACACACACAGTAGTAGAGTAGTAGAAAAATGGAATGCACTTGGGGAACAGGTTGTGGAAGCAAATACTATTCATACTTTTAAAACTAGGTATGATAGGGAAATGGGACAGGAGTCATTGCTGTAAACAACCGATAGCTAGAAAGGCGGGATCCAAGAGTCAATGCTCGATCCTGCAAGCACATATAGGTGAGTACATATAGGTGAGTACACACACACACATACACACACACACACACACACACAACTTCCCGCAAGTTTTGTGTGTGTGTGTGTGTGTGTGTGTGTGTGTGTGTGTGTGTGTGTGTGTGTGTGTGTGTGTGTGTGTGTGTGTGTTTAGACTTAATTTGCCAATAAATTTCTTCATTTTTATATATAACTTCTCCACTTCCCTCCCGCTAGTTCGGCGGTAAACTGCTAGAGGTTCTCTATTTTATTTTTTTAATTCAATGAAAGGTAAATCTAATGTATATACCGAGAAGATAGACCGAACATTTCCCAATGTACCAATAGTACCGTAAAGTATTTCAAAATGTACCAATAGGACCGTAAAGTACGTCAAAATGTACCAATAGTACCGTAAAGTACGTCAAAATGTACCGATAGTACCGTAAAGTACGTCAAAATGTACCAATAGTACCGTAAAGTACGTCAAAATGTACCAATAGTACCGTAAAGTACGTCAAAATGTACCAATAGTACCGTAAAGTACGTCAAAATGTACCAATAGTACCGTAAAGTACGTCAAAATGTACCAATAGTACCGTAAAGTAAGTCAAAATGTACCAATAGTACCGTAAAGTACGTCAAAATGTACCAATAGTACCGTAAAGTATTTCAAAATGTACCAATTTTTTTATCTCTGCCAAAAAAATAAAAATTACGTTTTGGGATGTGATTGTATTCACTGAATACGTTTTCAAAATTATTTTGTTCCATAAATTATAGTACTATAGTACCATGTGACAATTAAGGACGGTTGTTCATCATAGATGTTGTCTATAGATCTTGATGGTTTAATGAGACGTTAATGGACTTGTCGGTAAGTACAGAGTCCAAACCCCAAGAATTATACATTAACAGGTCATTGTTAAAATTTACTCATTACCAGAATTTTCCAAACGAGTTAATACGTCTTCGTTATGAATTTCACGAAGACGTCAAACTCTTACATGTATAACATTCTCAAGGTGAAGGGACGACGACGTTTCGGTCCGTCCTGGACCATCTACAATCGACTTGAGAATGGTCCAGGACGGACCGAAACGTCGTCGTCCCTTCACCTTCTAGTGTGTGTGGTCTGGTCAACATACTTCAGCCACGTTATTGTGACTCATCGCCTGTATAACATTCTCAAGTTGTTTTTATTTTCTACAAATGATATATTTCTTTTGAGGTTTCCTTATTGACAAAATGCATTCCATTTGTCTGAAAAAGCCTCACAGAAGGTAAACTTTCTCTCAAACATCTTAGACGAAAGTCTTGTATACGATCAGCTCTCAAATGTCTAGCACAATGAGAGGTCATGTCTACGATTAAACTCTCTTAAATGTCTCCCGCCAAACACACACCGAAACTACGACGTTGGTACAACGTTGGAACAAGTTTTAACACCTAATCAGTTATAACAACCAATATAGCAAGTTGTAACAACGTTCTAATACGTCATAAACACGTTAAGCCAAGATGTAACAACTTTATTATAAGTTGTAACAAGCGGAAAATAGAGATAGTTACGGTTTGTGTTTCCAAGACTAAGACTAAGACTTTTCTACGATCAATGACATTCATCAAACAGCCAACATCTTGAACAGACCTGAGAGACTCTTCATTATCGTTGCCTTCCCGGACGATAACTGCCCCCAGTCACTTGATAACCAGACAACCTTATACTTGTCTTAGGTAGACATGTTTGTAGCCAGGGTCTCAGTCGACGTCTTACCTGCAAATCAAAGTTAGAAACGCTTATACAACATAATATAAATAATAATAATAATAAAAATAATAGTAGTTATCACAGAGAAATTACACTAAGGTAATGTATCAGCGAGAAAATCCATATGAGCCGTGATGAGGATTCGAACTTATGCGGTGGGTGTTCCCAGACAACCCGTCCTCACACTAGGCTAGTTAAAGCAGCGGCCGACCTCCCCAGACGCATTCATCTATTTTAACATACTGTGTATTAAAAATTAATATGTTCTCATATATAAATTAATATTCTTATACATAAAAATTGTATGTATAGTTTGGCGTAGGTTAGGTGTTTAGGTTCTGTTGGTAATTATTTGTATTTGAAGTACGAGGGTGAAGCATTTATAGCAACCTGTCCTCGACTCAAGTCCATTCCATCCAGCGGTCGACCCCACAGACGCATTCATAAAATTTAACATGCTGTTCATTCAGAACAAGAATTTTCTCAAATATAAATTAATATTATAATATATTAGCGTATTGTGCATATATAGACATAGGTTAGATTAGGTGTTTAGGTTCTGTTGGCGATTATTTGTATTTGTAGTACGTGGGTGAAGCATTTACAGCGTTGTGGTTCGAACACAAGTCGTCAGTGAAGCACTTGTTCCGGAAGTGTTCGAACGTCAGCAGTTGTGAGTCGTGTGTAAACTGTTTTTCATTCATAAACAGCTGGGGGGTTGGGGGTTGGCGGGTGGATTAAAGTTGTTGTTGTTGTTAAAGATTCGCTACTTGGAACAAAAAGTTCCAAGTAACACGGGCTATGGTGAGCCCGTAGATAGGATTAAAGAGCTGGGATCTTTGTATGCTTCCAGGAGGCCTGGTCGACGACCGGGCCGCGGGGACGCTAAGCCCCGGAAGCACCTCAAGGTATGCGAGAACGGGGTGCAACCAGGCCACATGGTAAAAGGATTCCAACCTGGGGTTCTACTGAACCTTCGAGGATACCTGAAGCTTCTACTGAACCCGAAGCAGGGTTTCACACAACTTCTCATGTAGCCCGTCCTCCACACAAGGACCCAAAGTCCATTCCATCCATCGGCCAAACCCCCCAGCTGTTTATGAATGAAAAACAGTTTACACACGACTCACAACTGCTGACGTCCGAACACTTCCGGAACAAGTGCTTCACTGACGACTGGTGTTCGAACCACAACACTGTAAATGCTTCACCCACGTACTACAAATACAAATAATCGCCAACAGAACCTAATCTACGCCTAACTATACATAGAATTTTCATGTATACTAATATTAACATATATACAAGAACAAACCAATTTTTAATACACAGTATATTAAAATTGATGAATGCGTCTGGGGAAGACGGCCGCTGCTTTAACCAGCCTAGCGTGAGGACGGGTTGCCTCCTACAACTGACCAATCACATCACTTGCCATCAAGTACTTCTGGAGTATCACTTGGCTGGAAATACGTCCTCCCTCCCACTCGAATTCAAAATATAAATATATTGATTCTTCCGCCTCTCGCCACCTTTTAAGAGATACAAAATAATGCTATTATTCTCCTAGAGTACGTACAACGGAGGGAGTATATAAAATATATAAGACAGTCTACGGGCTCGCCATAGCCCGTGCTGCCTGGAACTTTTTGTTCCAGGCAGCGAATTACAACAACGGGGGAGTAGGGCTCTTCCTACGAGATTAAATTTGGTATCATTGTGTTTGCAATAGAATTCTCTACAGCACTAAACCAGTCCCCAAAAAATCGGATAAAAACCTGATTTTTGGCGATTATTTTAGTGGATGACGCAGTATTGCGTCATGCCCGTGATTACCGACAGTATACGGATGACGCAGCATTGCGTCATGCCCGTGATTACCGACAGTAAACGGATGACGCAGTATTGCGTCATGCCCGTGATTACCGACAGTAAACGGATGACGCAGCATTGCGTCATGCCCGGACGAAAGTGTTTTAAGAGCAAGGAGAGGAGCGAACTACCCGGACTCCGCAACACCTCAGACATCCATCAAGACATAACAACACTGATCAGCGCAGCTTCACGTTTGAAACAAGACAAAGTGAAGGTAACTCGTATAGAAGCCATCAACAGGTACCAACACACTGGGATTGTTCAGTTGTTTGGGTTATAGCAGACTAAGAGTGGCAACCCGGCGGTGCCCGGGGTAGGCTCTCTCTCCCCCTCTCACCCTTTCTCTCCCCCTCTGCCTCCCCTAACCCCCCCTCTCCCAACCCTCCTCTCTTTTTCAAATATGGAACAGACAGATATCCCTATATAATGTATATTAGGTATATGACTGCATCCGGGTCTCTTACCTCTCTTTGCACCCCTTCTCCCTTTTCTCCATACCTCCCCATTGACGATCTCGTCCCCATTCCGGCTCTCTTCCCCATTCGTGCACCCCCCCCCTCTCCCCCTTCTTATATCCCCTCTTCCCTTTCTGAAAAAAATTAGTATTAGGAATTTGTGAAGCAACTGTATTCAGAAAATACGTTATGATAACTACAAACTCTAGGGGAATCACACCAAATATTTCACACTTTACCTCGCTAAAAGTTGCATGGTGAGATGTTTATAAATGTGAATATTTCTTCAGGCATTTAATTTAGGTGTACATGGAGCAGTCTGTGTCAGCCCTGTACCGCAGAACTCTCCTCCTGCAAAGTTTGGTGAGGCGAGACACAAGCACCTAGCCTCACCTTTGGCCAGATGTACACACAAGCAGACAAGCAAACACACATTCTCTCATACATTACAACTATGCAAAGTGAACTCCTGCAGCTTTTTGTAACAGTGTGACGTTGCATAGTGGTAGCCAAAGTGACCGTGTAGCCCGTCCTCTTAAGGTCCCCCAACGTCAAGAAACTGTCGTACTAAGGTGCCCTATCCTAACCTACCAGAGGACAAAAAACAGAAAACGGGTCGGTATGTCAATTTCGCGAGTCGCTACCACTTTCTCGTACGACAATTTTTGGCCTTAGGGAGAGTGTACGTCAAAATGCCACGCACTATTACGAGGGTTGGCTGGGGAAGGATTTACTGAGCTATTGTGTCCAATTCCTCTCTATATTTTTAAGAAAGAATGATTTATTTAAGGTAATATTACCTTATTCGATTAAGGCAGCATTTGGGATGCTCACGGACGCAGGTTCGAATCCTCGTCACAGCCCTTGTGGATTTGTTCATATAAGGTAATTTTTATATTTATAATGTTTCACAACGCTAAGCTCCCCCCCCCCCCCCCCTCCCCCCCCCTCCGTCCCCCCCTCCCCCCCCCCCAACACTTTGTAATACATAATTCACCCCGAGCAGGTGTCTGTGGTGGTGCAGTGGTAACACACTCGCCCCACGCTGCCTGAACGATGTGATCCAGGTTCGTATCTTGGCCGAGGATGATTGACTAGGCACCGGTCCTTAACTGTGCGCCTCAGTTCATCCAGCAGTGATTAGGTACCTGGTTGTTCAACACTTGGCGGGTCGTGTGCCAGGGGAACTAGTGGGTAAGGCTTACCCTTCCCTTAGTCTATGGGAAGGGTCCCTTAGTCTATGGGAAGGGTCCCTTAGTCTATGGGAAGGGTCCCTTAGTCTATGGGAAGGGTCCCTTAGTCTATGGGAAGGGTCCCTTAGTCTATGGGAAGGGAAAGCTCTCTGTCTGCTGACAGAGAGCAGGAGTCGTCAGGAGTCGTCTGCTCTTGTACCCACATGTGTAAAAAAGTAAAAAAAAATGACAAAATGTCTCAAAAAATCAACAAATTATGAATTCAGAATCCTGGGCTGACCCTGGACGACAGTTCGATCCCACCGCCTTACTCCCAACCTGTGACAAACTGAACAAATCCAACTCTTAAGAGAAATACTAAATTCTCCATCATACTTTAAAAATTCAACGTTTAACACCACAGGTGAACTGCCCAACGCCTCGACATCAGAAATTAATTCCGTGTTGGTCCATCCATCACTTGCGTAGCATTATAAAGCGAGGCGGCCACATTACCCGAACCTCCGAGGCAGACGGGCCTCAAATGTGATGCAATTTGGCATAAGATGATGGGCCAGCACAAACAGCCCTCGCTGACTGCTGTTTTAATCATTTTTTTTTTTTTGAGATATATACAAGAGTTGTTACATTCTTGTACAGCCACTAGTACGCGTAGCGTTTCGGGCAGGTCCCTGGAATACGATCCCCGCCGCGAAGAATCGTTTTTTCATCCAAGTACACATTTTACTGTTGCGTTAAACAGAGGCTACAGTTAAGGAATTGCGCCCAGTAAATCCTCCCCGGCCAGGATACGAACCCATGACAAAACGCTCGCGGAACGCCAGGCGAGTGTCTTACAACTACACCACGGAGACTGCTATCTATAATGATTTTATAATCATTATAAAATCTCAGACGAACCACCAGAGGTTCGAACCACGACGAACCACTGCTGTAAATGTTTACAGTACATAAGGGGGAGGGGGAGGTGGTGTAGCCACGTCTAGGTGTATTTATCTGAGAGGTTACACAAGTCCTGGCAAGGTGTAGTCGCACCTCCACAGATCTCCAGTATTAGCTACTGGTAATGGCTCCAAACGGCCGGCACTTACGGGCTATTCATGCCCGTGCCACCTTTTGGGTGGCTTAAATCTTCATCAATCAGTCAAACAAGTCCTGGAGAAGTTACAGCTCCGCTCCTGTGCCAATGGTGTTGTAGTAAGACTCAGTAATAATAAAAATAATAAAAATAATAATAATAAAAATACAAATAATAATAAAAATAAAAATAATAATAATAAAAATAAAAATAATAATAATAAAAATAAAAATAATAATAAAAATAAAAATAATAATAATTATTAATGGTGATATCTTCTCACAGACTTAAAACCATAGAATAAAAAAAAACTTATGTATTTTTGAAATTTACTTACACCAAGTCTTTCACACTCTTCTAAGTGCCTCACCAAGGCCTGAGTGTGTGGTGAGGATCAGGGGCCAGATTCACGAAAGCACTTACGCAAGCACTTACGAACGTGTACATCTTTCCTCAATCTTTGACGGCTTTGGTTACATTTATTAAACAGTTTACAAGCATGAAAACTTGCCATTCAACTGTTGTTATTGTTATAAACAGCCTCCTGGTGCTTCGGAGCTCATTACCTGTTTAATAATTGGAAACAGAGCCGCCAAAGATTGAGAAAAGATGGACAGGTTTCGTAAGTGCTTTCGTGAATCTGGCCCCAGACTTACATCTCAACGTCTTATGTAAATTCTTTATATAAATTTCACAAACACACAAGTGTAGATTTTTATCCTAAAAATAAAAATAATATTTAAAGGAAACAGAGGCATCAAACCAGGACATGTAGGTAGTTACAGTAGTTACGCAAGCACTTACGAACCTGGGGCCAGATTCACGAAGCAGTTACGCAAGCACTTACGAACCTGGGGCCAGATTCACGAAGCAGTTACGCAAGCACTTACGAACCTGGGGCCAGATTCACGAAGCAGTTACGCAAGCACTTACGAACCTGGAGCCAGATTCACGAAGCAGTTACGCAAGCACTTACGAACCTGGGGTCAGATTCACGAAGCAGTTACGCAAGCACTTACGAACCTGGGGCCAGATTCACGAAAGCAGTTACGCAAGCACTTACGAACCTGGGGTCAGATTCACGAAGCAGTTACGCAAGCACTTACGAACCTGGGGCCAGATTCACGAAGCAGTTACGCAAGCACTTACGAACCTGGGGCCAGATTCACGAAGCAGTTACGCAAGCACTTACGAACCTGGAGCCAGATTCACGAAGCAGTTACGCAAGCACTTACGAACCTGGGGTCAGATTCACGAAGCAGTTACGCAAGCACTTACGAACCTGGGGCCAGATTCACGAAGCAGTTACGCAAGCACTTACGAACCTGGAGCCAGATTCACGAAGCAGTTACGCAAGCACTTACGAACCTGGGGTCAGATTCACGAAGCAGTTACGCAAGCACTTACGAACCTGGAGCCAGATTCACGAAGCAGTTACGCAAGCACTTACGAACCTGGGGTCAGATTCACGAAGCAGTTACGCTAGCACTTACGAACCTGGGGTCAGATTCACGAAGGAATTACGCAAGCACTTACGAACCTGGGGTCAGGTTCACGAAGGAGTTACGCAAGCACTTACGAACCTGGGGCCAGATTCACGAAGCAGTTACGCAAGCACTTACGAACCTGGGGCCAGATTCACGAAGCAGTTACGCAAGCACTTACGAACCTGGGGCCAGATTCACGAAGCAGTTACGCAAGCACTTACGAACCTGTACATCTTTCCTCAATCTTTGACGGCTTTGATTACATTTATTAAACAGTTTACAAGCATGAAACTTGCCAATCAACTGTTGTTATTGTTATAAACAGCCTCCTGGTGCTTCGGAGCTCATTAACTGTTTAATAATTGTAAACAAAGCCGCCAAAGATTGAGAAAAGATGTACAGGTTTCGTAAGTGCTTGCGTGAATCTGGCCCCAGATTGCTACGAGTCCTGCCACCACACCTCTCACCCGTCATGACACTATCACTGTGTGGATTTTGAGGTCATAGTTAGATTAGAACACTGAAGGTTACATCAGAGCGGGTTACAGGTTATCTTGAGATGATTTCGGGGCTTTAGTGTCCCCGCGGCCCGGTCCTCGACCAGACCTCCACCCCCAGGGAGCAGCCCGTGACAGCTGACTAACACCCAGGTACCTATTTTACTGCTAGGTAACAGGGGCATAGGGTGGTTATCTTGAGATGATTTCGGGGCTTTACTGTCCCCGCGGCCAGGTCCTCGACCAGGCCTCCATCCCCAGGAAGCAGCCCGTGACAGCTGACTAACACCCAGGTACCAATTTACTGCCAAGTAACAGGGGCATCAGGGATTGAGAGAAACTCTTGCCCATTGTTTCTCGCCGGCGCCCGGGATCGAACCCGTGACCACAGGATCACGTGTCCAGCGTCCTGTCCGCTCAACCACCGGCAGATGCATCAAATAGATTACAGTTAGGTCAGGGGTAGTTAAAAGCCGTCTTAACAACTTGCATGAGGCGCTTATGTAAACATCTGCCACAGATGTTTGCCA